CCCTAATTCTGCAATATGTCTATATCTAGATACTATATTAAACACTTTCAAACTTGTGAGTTTGATAAGTAACATCTAAGTCAGAATATGATCTCCTGCATTTGTTAAACAAGTAATTTAAGCCTCAGATATGTCTTTTTCTAAGCAGTAAAGAAACTTGGATAGTGTTATTTTTTTATATTTATGATCTCTTGTTCTCTCTCTTTCTCTCTCTCGTTTTAGTTTTGGGCCACTGAAATTAGTTTTTTTGCCATTTGGTATTTGCCATTTTTTATGTTCAACTATGGTATGGCAAGAAGTTTGACTATATCCTACCAACAATGTGGGGAACTAAGTAAGAATAACATGCTTTCTTGAGAAAATGTTCTCCAGAAATCGATTCAATGGACAACATGGTGCTGGAGTTTCTCCTAAAGGCGGCGCAAAATCCAAAACTCATCCACCTAAAAAGAGAGCTCCAAATCCCAAAGTAGCATTGGTCATTCGTGGCAAAATTCATCGTCTTTTGCAAGGTTCTGCAGATCACCGTGTCCCTGATTCCCACCTTTATTATCCAGGCAATGAACAGGAAGAGGAGGATGTGGAAGCACCTGACAGTAGAAAAGAGCTCAGAAGTATTTATCCGAAGGTTACCCCAAGGTCTGAGGCTTTCACAACAAAAGGTTCAATCATTAAAAGACATGAAGTTGTATCAGGCCCACCCTGTGTAGGAGAAATGGAACTGAACAGAGAGGGGTGCATAAGATTACCTGGCACTTTACAACATAAAAGCTCCAGATCCCAGAGAAATCAAAAACGCATATCTTTTGAAAGTGGTCTTCGGGAACCTCCAGAGCACAACCAACCTGTCCCACTATACACACCAGTTAGCCCAGACATGAATGGAACAAAGTTTGTATCAAGAACCCAAGAATATTCATCACCTCGCATTCGACCCAAAAGACCATATTCCGCTGGTGACTGTGTGGACTTCAACAGAGCTCTACCAAATACCCTTCTGGAAGAGGATGAAGATAGAGAAGAGGCTTCAAGTGCCATCATTGACCATATTCTGAAGGAGCTAAGGGGCATCAATAAGATCCAGGAAGAAATCTCAGACCTCAGGGATTATCTGACCTCAGTGCGGGGCTCAGTTGAGGAAGTGTCCTCATGTGTAGATGCCGTACTATTGGAAATCGAGGGCATCCGTTCTTGCAACAAAAGCAGTTCAGCTACATGGTCGGGGAGTAAAGATGGACACTCCACACGTAGAAGGCCTGCCAGTGCCTATGGTAGTTTAGGGAGTCCATTAGCAAAGTTGGATCTTGACTGTTTTCTGCCAGGGTATGAGCCCCAAAATATACATGGGGTACTAGTGCCAACAAGGCTAGAAGGGTCTAAGGCGTCCCACATGGTTTCAACAGATGATCATCAGGAACTGGAGGAACCTGATGATACTTCGGATCATAGTTCAGATATACCAGAAGGTGCAACTGCAAGAAATCTTAGCTTAAACTTTCTTGAACATGGGGATGTCCAAGACTTTCCAAGTACTAGCTCTTTGTCTTCTGGTCATAGTTCTAAGTCTGACTATGACTTTGAAAGACAATTATCTAGTTATGAAAGAAAGGACCCAAGAGTTGGTGCAGAGGAAGAATGGACTAACACCATACCCAGACGTAGTGTTAGTAGGCAGTCTAAGTGGCACAAGGATAGCACTTACTTCAGGGATAGGGGTCTAGAGAAGAAAAGCAGCAAGAGCTCTCATTTTTGTGAAGAAACTGAAAACTGGGATCACTACAGAGGAACAGGAGGATATAGTGCACCGTTACAGACATTTACAGAATGCTCAGAACGTATTTCTATTAGCTCTGGTAAGCATTATAACTCACCTCCCAGAACTTCCAGCAGGAAGGAGCGGGAGTCATGGATGAGACGGCCTCAGAGTCAGCCCAGGAGTCACAATCCAACCGTTAACAGCTTTGGCAACTCCTCTGTTGGATATGACTATTCTGCTGATCTTTCTTACCCTCAAAGTTCAGGATACCATTCAATTGAGGTTAATGATGGAGAAACAGAGGAATTTGAGTTTGATCAAACAAATAAGTTGACCTTCAGAACAAACAGTGAAACTGAAACCCATCTAGCCTATGACGAGAATTCTGCTGGGACCTGGACAGAGAGACCTTCAGATATCCAAGAAGATGTAGTTGTAAGATCCTACAGAAGTCAAAGCTGGGAAAACCAACTCTCTGATTCTGGTAATACTGATGTCCAACCTGGAAGTTTAACTGTAAAACGCATAGGAAAAGCTGTACTTGATTTTAGGTCTGCTTTACGAGGTGCTCTGCGAAAGGTTGAAGGACCTGTAGGAACAAATTCTGGAGACCTACTAGACTTTGAATTAGCAATGCCTTCTGACCTTCCTACAAGTGAGCTATCTTTGAAACTTTCATCCACCCAGGGACATATAGAAAAAACTTCCAATCAATTCCATGAAAATGATGTTGGTTCTGCTCGTACTTTTGGTGATCTGTCTGAAAACAATAGCATTGAAAAGTCTAATGATGATTCTGTAAAGCCTGTAGTTGATAAAATCAGCAAAAGCCTTGAGTCCCTAGATACTGGCCAAAATCCTCCTCATTTGAGCAAGATTTCCTCAAGCTTTGAAGAAACTTCTATGGGTCCAGACAGTCTTGTCAATACTACTCCAACACCTGATGGCCTTACACAATTAACAGGAGAGAGCATTTCTGAAAAAACTTTAAAAGTACCTGAGGATGTGAATGAGAAAGAACAGGTTTCCCAGTGCACCACTGAAGAATCCTTGTCGGCCTCATTTCAGGCTGATGAGCATGTAGCATTGCAGAAAGTGTTTTCCACAGAGGAACCACAAAAGCATGTCACTGACATTACTGGAGGCTTGGAGGTACAACCAGTGGGAGATGAAGCAGCATCATCAACAGAGAACCCCCAAATCGATGAACGCAAGCTGAAATGTCTGAGGAGCTTTCAGCAGATTCTGAGAGAGAAGAGGGAAACCAGACGCAACCTTGTCAGTATGACTATGTCCACCTTCTCCCAGGAAGAGATGGAACAAGGTAGCAATTACTTTACATTTTGATCATCCAATCCGTGATTTGGTATTAGACATGTAATAAAGTATAATATCTATCTATCTATCTATCTATCTATCTATCTATCTATCTATCTATCTATCTATCTATCTATCTATCTATCTATCTATCTATCTATCTATCTATCTATCTATCTATCTATCTATCTATCTATCTATCTACAGATATAGATATATAGTAAACAATCTACTTAAACTTTTGCATATTAGTTTTATAGATCTAAAGTATATATAATAAAGTGCATTTCATCCAAGCTGTCTTTTGTAACTGTAAAATTTCACATAATGACATTGACTACCACAGTTTGATACATAAGGCCGTTCTATATTAAACCACCCAATATTTTGCATCAAAGCAGCAGGACTTTTATTTCAATTTTTGCTGTTGGTCCTAAATCATATTTATGTTTTTTTTTTTTTTTTTTGGCCTTTGAAAGTCTTACTTTGGACTTTGATAAGTAGCTCACCAAAATCAGTTTAGTCCTAAAAAGGACCACATCATAATCAGTGAGAGGATTGCAGGAAAGAACACAAATGGACAAGAGAAGGACAGACAAACATGCATCAGGCCTTAATACTATAAAAAATAAAGTGTTTTCTGTTTTGTTGTTCTTTTTTTCTTTTACAAAAGAGCGGAAAAATTGGTTGGAATTTTGAATTTGGTTGAATTTTAAATCTTGATTTATTCTTAGGTTAAGGTTTATTTGGACTAAACTGTGAAAAATTTTTCAAGAGAAATTAGCAATTAACTATATTTATCTTAACAACAATTGGACAGATAATAAACAAAACCACTATAAGAAATTACAAGAAGGTTCAAGCTAGATGAATAACCAAGAAAAAAGGGTTGGTTTAAAACTTTTGCCAGGTGCTATAAATATATTTAGTGTTTTCTGTCCTCTGATAGACTGTTATTCCTATTTTTGACAACTCGTTGATCTTTTCTATCAGGTTTGTTTTTACTGACAAAGACCTTCTTTCCGTTTGATCACACAAAGGTGATTGCTTTTTATCTGAACTTCTCTTGTGAGCACATATCAGCTGCCACTCAGAACTCCCTTACTCCTCTGCAAGGCATCAGCATGATCCATTTGCAGAATTAGAAAACATTAATTATCTCCTCTGAAAGCGAGTGGGACATCAAAGACTAGGACTGGAAGGAAATATTAGGAGATATTTTCATGATTAATTATACATGTTAATCAAACATTTACGACCTAGGAACCCATCTATTGAAAAACTCAGTAGTGGTGCTGCTTTTAAACTTTAATCTTGTTGAAACAATGCACGAGCACATGGCTTGATATTTAACTCAGTTAATCAAGATGGTAAATGACTGTTTTTGTCTTCCTATCTGTTTCTGTCATTTTTTTCTTTTGCTGTTTTACAGATGGGAGTCAAGATGGAGATCAGGTCACCTTTAATCAAACCTTCAACCATTTACTCTCTTTTCTCTGGATATTTTTGACCTTATTGTAGTCCTTTGTTCTGTAATTGTTGTTGCTTTTTTTTACACTGATCCAGGTAGTGCCACAATAATGCTGACTTGTTTTTAAAAGTAGTGTGATGGACACAGTATTGTCCAAAAAAGTATTATTATTAGGTGTAATACTCTATAAAAGATTGATTTTGTTATTGTCTCCCTCATATTATTTCTTCTTGCTGTCAGAAAAAACACAATAAATAGTCCCAAAGAATTAATGATCTCTTTGGCATGCAGAACCGAAACTCAGCCAACACAATTTAGTCTCAATCTATTCCTCTTGTTACTTGCTCCACTCTATATTTTTCATCTTATACCTCTTCGTTTGCATGCTCCTTTGTCTTAAAATCAGACTTACAGCCTTACCCCAATTAATGCTCGACCTATGACATCTCATTTTAGAGCCAAGGGCAGGCCGCTGACCCCAGCAAGCAGCCGTGGGCCAAGCCCGGGTCTGTACAGCCTTTATGTGGGATTGATTGATTATAATAAGTGATGTTTATTCTGTTTTTACATTTTCTTTGTGTTATTTCTTTGTAAAAGGGCAAACACACCATTTGGCATTGACAGCATGCCAGACCTCCGCAAGAAGAGGCCTATTCCTCTTGTTAGTGAATTGGTGAGTAATCCAATCAATACATTTTTTTAACTGTCTTGGTATTGGTATTGTTCACTGAACAATACCAATTTACAGTTAAATCTGTACTCACAGGATATATTATTTGAAGATTTACCAAACAGAAAAGTAACATTCAAAATTTTAGAAAAGTGAAAATGTTTTCAACCAAAACTCATTTATTTTATCCATTTGTTTGATTCATTTATTTCTACAAATTAAAGCAACAGCAACTGACACACAGCTGAATCAATTTTGTGTTAACCCTATCTCGCCATGTATTCGAGGTCCCCGCTGTTAAAATAGTTGCATGCAATGTCTCCATTCAGCTATGAGCGCTTTGTTTTAATTAATCAAACATTTTACTCAAAAATAAGATAATATTTAAGATGAGGAACAGGTACATGCTCACTTATAGGCTCTGTAATGGGAGGCATACACAGACTGTTTCTCGTCAATTTGATCTAATTAGACCAACATAACATAATTAAATGCTGAGCAGAAAGACTACCATACTCCCTTAATATAATTTAAACAGGCAAGCAATAATTTTAAGCAACTACATATTATTAAAGTATTAGATGATATCTGTGCATTTCTATGTAGGAGCTAATCACAGATCCTCCCATACACTTATACAGTAATAATAACACTCTCAGGGTACCTTATTGATCCGTTAGGAGAAGAAACAGGGTTATTGAACACAACAGCAACTTTACATTAAGACCAGTTGTTTGGGGATTATTTTACAAGCTTTAAAAAAGTGTTAAAGTTACAATAAACTTGTCAGAATAAAAATAATAAACTATATACTATACAAACTGAATTTTGACGTTTGTTTGTACTAGTCTTAATTCAGATACAATAACAATGTTATAACAACTACATGTCCACACTCCATGAATAAGTGTCAAAGGAAATGTAACTTGTGTTTGTTTTTTTCTTGATTGTTTTTTTTTATTATTTATATGAAAAAAAAAACTGACTTTTAGACTTATAATATGTGACCTCTGCTGAAATTGATTTGAAGTCAATAAAAAATAAATAAAACAAAATGTCAAGACTAAAGTGTGACTCTGAGATCTCTTTCCTTCTTGCATCCTCTCTCTGCCCATGTTGCCTCTCCCTGGATGTGGCTGCTCAGGCTATGGTGAGTAAAAGATGAGCAAGATTTTATTTGCTATGTCTGCCGTTTGAAATGATTTGGTCTGAAATTCCCTGACAGCCCCCGAGTGGAATAAGGGATTTCAGTCTGCTAGCTGTAGAATTTTATTTTATATGGGGAATACATACCTATAAACAAACACACCAACCAGCTGTGTATTTGTGATGGTTAGTTAAAATTCTTCAAACTTTATTGTATAGATACCCAAGATGACATGAAGGTGGGGCTTTTTAGATTGTTTTAAGAAATGCTTTGATTAACTTAATGTGCCTCCAATCATTAGTAACGGGAGTTCTAACAAAGCATAACACTCTGTCTGAATAAATACTGATATATTTCTTATAGTATACTGTACCTCTAAACCATCACCACCTGATTTTAATATAGGAAAAGGACCCAAGAAATTGATTAATATACACTAAATTTCAGGTTAATTATAAAAGAATAAGAGTTTAATTAATAGAGTCAGTAGAATCAGAATTGTCGATGTGACAGGATGACAATGTTGAATGTAAATATTAAATTACATTCATTAGTTTTTCTAGTCAGTATGACTATTTTTCTATATTTCTATTGTGCCAATTCACAACACAAGTAATCTTAAGGCACTTTACAGAGACAGTTAAACTAGATCATACAGTCAGATTTGTTCAAAGTTTTCTATCTAAGGAAAACCAGCTCATTGCATTGACTAATGGACTTCCCAGCAATCCGTCAAAAGCATGCAGGTAGCGGCAGTGGAGATGAACACTCCCTTTTGACAGGAAGAAACCTGCAGCAGAACCAGGCTCAGGACTGAATGACAGGCCAAGCTCCAACATCTATAAACAAAGGCATTGATGGCAGGAGGAAATCTGATATTTCTCGCCAGGATAGTGTCACAGCCACATTGGAAAAGACCAGATGAAGCTACTATGATGGGGAAAAAACCAGAAAGAACTTAAAGTTATGGGTGGAACTAAGAAGTAGTCTCAGATTGGGAGAATAGACAGAATGAAGCAGAATGATGAAAAGGGGTCCTTTTGTCCTAGGCAAGTCTAATCCTATAGCAGCATAACTATAGCGATAGCTCAGGATAACCCGAGCCACTCTTACCATACGCTTTACCATAAGGAAAGCTTTAAGCCTACCGTTAAAAGTAGACAGGGTGTCTGTCTCACAGACTAAAACTAGTAGTTGGTTCCACAAGAGAGGAGCCTGATAACTAAAAGATCTGTCTACCATTCTACTTTTAGAAATTCTAGAAACCACTAGTAAACCAGCAAATTATGTGCAAAGTGCTCTGTTATTGTAGGTACAACTGGATCTCTGATATAACATGTATGTTAGAAGGGGGATTTTAGATTTGATTCTATGTTTAACTGGAAGCCAATTAAGAGAAGCTAGGATAGGATACCAAGGATAGGATTTTAATTTCCATCAGAACTCTGGCTGCAGCATTTTGGATCAGCTGAAGGCTTTTAACTACAGTTTGTGGACTTTCTGATAGTAAATAATTACAATAGTCCAGCAAGTAACAATTGCATGGGCTAGTTTCTCAGCATCACCCCTTGATAATTTCTGAATATTTCTTTTTTTTTTTCAATTTTTCGGTGATGAAAGAAGGAAATTCTTGAAGCCTCTTTAATATGGGATTTAAATGACAGGTCCTGATCAAAAATAACAACAATGTTTTTTACTCTATTACCTGATACCAATTTAATGTCATTCAGATGAAGTCACTGACTAATCAGCTTTTTTCCAAGACAATAGCTTCTCTTTTGTCTGCATTCAGGAGCAGAAAGTTAAGAATTATCCAGGTTTTTATGTCTTCAAGATATGCCTGTAAATGGGTTAGCTTCATCTAGATTTATAGACAGATATAGCTGAATATGACAAGAAAAACATATGGTTAACTTAAGAAATGTTTTTCTCATGTGAATTACATAAAGGGAAAAAATCTAACTGTTTGAATACAGTTGGATGATTTGGGGTTAAACAAATGTATCTAAATAGAAAAAAGTGGAACAAATATTTGGTATCCCTAGTATAAAAGCTACTTTTAATCCATCCATCCATCCATCCATCCATCCATCCATCCATCCATCCATCCATCCATCCATCCATCCATCCATCCATCCATCCATCCATCCATCCATCCATCCATCCAGGTTAGCCACTGACCGACTGAATACTATTGAAGAAATATGGAGTTACAATTTCAACTAAATTAATTATGATTTATTACCTTAACTATGGTCTTTACATTAGATAATTCAATTTTAAAGTGTGGGTTTTTCTTTCTGGTATTGCACTACAGCGTTAGAAGACATTGCTATTTTCAGGCTGTTTACATGTGATTATTAGGGCTATATGTTAAAGCTATACAAATGCGCATTTATCTCAGACTTAGTTACTCAGATGTGTCTCTTAATTAAACTAAATGCAACCAATTAACTGTTGAACCTGTTTCATTATAGTAAAGCCTCATTATGTTTCTAAAGTAGAAACTACTTATTATGATCTAATGGGTCACAAAGCAGTTTATTTTAATGGTTACTGACAGCTTATGTTGTTGGGTTTAAAAGAAGCAGAGAAGCATCTGAAGGATTTTTCACAGGTGTGACGCTCAATCAAAGAGATGTTGCAGCATGAGAACTGATTTTAAGCTTCCACATTTTCCTCATGTTGATATATAAAACTTTCAAGATATATAAAGAAAATCTCCCTGGATCCTGCCCAAACCCCCTGTGCCTCAAGCTCATCCAAACCGTCTCTAAACTCAACATTAAACATTTTACTATAAACCTTAACAAATATTACTAAACTGTTGGAAAGCTGTTACAATGGTTTTTACATGTTTCCATTTTAGTATACGTGTATGATTTCATAGGGATATGTTATTTAGTTGTTCTTATTTTAGAAGTATTGGGATTCTAAATTAACATTTCTTTGCATGTTAAAAGACAAAAAAGGCAAAGACAAAAGGAGAACAGATGTGTCTATTTGTGATATCTCCTTCAAACTTTAAAATGAGCAGACATGAAAACAAAAAATTTTTTATTCTTTCATTTTTTTCTACTTTGATAGTTTGTGGCTGTGAGTTCCTGATTTCTTGCTTTCCTTTTGTTCCAAGACTATCATTCAGTCCAGAAAAGCCGGACTCACTCACTCTTTGGCCACTCGGACCTCACTAAAGGATGAAGAGCTTGTGAGTATCTTGATGCTTACAGCTATCACAACTTCTTTTGGATTGTGCTCCTGCTGTCACATTGTTAGCTGTTTGTTGGAAATGGCTGATGTTCCACAACATCAGCTTCATGAAAGGTGTGCCTTCCTGATTTTAATTGCTGGCTCTGTGCTGAAAGTCCTATTATTGATCAATTCTTATTGATAATTACATTTTATATAGGGAAACACATTAATAATTTAGGTGCACAAAGTAAGTTATAGTTAATGAAGAGCAGCTACAAGAGTTTGAGGACTAAAACTGGAAATAGTTTAGGGAGCACCTAACCATAATAAAAAAAGATATTTTTTTCAATGCTTCCTGGTTTCTGGTAAATATAGACTTAGTTAACCTCCTATTTAATTTCTTAGTTTCATAACATAAATAAATAGTGCAAATCGCTACCAAGGTTTTAATTGTTTTCAATTAAGTGATTCTACTTGGCTTTTTTTCTCCATTTCTTGTCCTCTTGAGTTGACTTGTTGCTTGTTCTTATTAGCCCTCTGTTCTATATTTTTCTGCCAGATAATGTCAGCTTCTGTTTTTTGGGGGATAGAGTATCGATGGCAACTCATTAATTTGCCCCATAACTTCCATCCGACATGCCATTTTCCGCTTATTCCTGCCTATTTTCATCAGTCATTGAGCGAGAGGCGGAATAAAACCTGGACAGATGCCCCTCCATAAGGCAACACAGAGACACACAGAACAAACAACCATACACACTTACTTTCTTTCTATTGACTTCCATTAATTTCTGCAGCCTAACCGTGACCCTTACCCTAACCCTAACCATTACGGACTCATATAAAACATCAGTCTACTGCTTGCAGGTGTCATACTGCATATTAGTTTGTTGAATTCTGTGCATCCTCAATCCTAACATCATTTTAAAAATGTTTAGCATTTGGTGATTCAATGCTTTAGAGATGGTGGTCCCAACTACTAAAGATCCAAGTTAGAACTGGACATTTGACTGCATTTGATGACAATAGAATAAAAAAAGTTAATAGAGTGACTCGCTTTATTCCTGTTATATTTAGGGAAAGGAAATATAAACTTTCTCACAAGACAGTATTTGAGGCCATTAAAAAAATAACCTAGAATCCAAGCATGTCTTTAGCTTTGTGATCAGTGCAGTGATGACCAGAAGAAAATCAGCAATTGCAATGTTGTTAAAACCAAATTTGTTCTTGTGAATTTTGGCAAAAGGTAATACAAAAAAAGGAAAAAAGTCCTATGGTGTACATCAGCCCAAAAATATCTAAATGTCTCTATTCCAAATACCTTTATACTCAGCAAATACTTGCTGTACACCAAAGACATTACACTGAAAAGAAATACACAAGTAAACTCTTCCCTTTGATTTTTTATCACAATTTTGCAGAGGTTGTTTAAAACATATGCAGATTTGGCAAAACTTGCAAGCATTAAAGGATTATGCACATTACCATCTTTCAACAATGCTGTTCTTGGAGGCTTTTTGGACTGTTGCTTCAAAACGCCTGGAGGGAGTACAATAAAACCTTTTGGTTCAGTAAAGATTAGTATGAAAGAACTGTTTGTATCAAAATTTTAACTTCCACAAGCCCTGTAGAGCCTTATAGTTAAGGCATAGTTTATAGTAGAAGCACAGCCAAAACTGTAAATAAATCACCAAGCCGACTACTGGCATATCAATGTCTTTCACACTGTTCAGTTTAAGTTTTATGATTTTCTTAAGAACTCTTTTCACACCATCAGAAATATTTAGAAACATTTGTTTTCCTGGGCACATGAACAGTTTATAATGCAGCTCTAAAATATATGTTATTCCAGAGAGCTGAGTTTCTCTGATTACCTACAATTTATAGATTTACTTTTTACTTGAGAATTTTCGATGAGAGATCTTCCTATAACCTGTCAGATCTCCTGCATAGTACACTGCATATATAAATAAAAACTAGACTATTGCTACCTCACAGTGAAGATTTTACACAGAATAAACCTGTATATCAGTGGCTCAGTCTTTGGTCCAAAATTCTGGTCAGAGGAGCAGCAGAAAATGTTTCCTGTTTATTTTTCAAGGCAGTTGTGCAAATTTAGAAAATAAATCATGTTTAAAAAGGAGTTACCTTTACTGGATCTTAGCTCTCTTCTTGGTGACTGTAAACTCTGTGCATACTTGATAAAGCTTGGCTTCAAATGGAGGGGTTTGTTCATCTTGTGGAGATGCTTTCTTTTCCCACTCTCCTGATTCATCAGAGAATGGCAGGTTTTACTTCACCAGAGCAGATACAGGTGCTGGTCATAAAATTAGAATATCATGAAAAAGTAGATTGATTTCAGTAATTCCATTTAAAAAGTGAAACTTGTATATTATATTCATACATTACATACAAACTCATATATTTCAGATGTTTATTTTGTTTAATTTTGATGATTACAAATGACAACAAATGAAAATCTCAAATTCATCATATCAGAAAATTAGAATATTACTGAAGACCAATAAAAACAAAGGATTTATAGAAATGTTGGCCAACTGAAAAGTATGAACATGAAAAGTATGAGCATGTACAGCACTCAGTATTTAGTTGGGCCTCCTTTGGCCTGTATTACTGCAGCAATGCGGCGTGGCATGGAGTCGATCAGTCTGTGGCACTGCTCAGGTGTTATGATAGCCCAGGTTGCTCTAATAGTGGCTTTTAGCTCTTCTGAATTGTTGGGTCTGGTGTATTGCATCTTCTTCTTCACAATACCCCATAGATTTTCTATGGGGTTAAGGTCAGGAGAGTTTGCTGGCCAATTAAGAACAGGGATACCATGGTCCTTCAACCAGGTACTGGTAGCTTTGGCACTGTGTGCAGGTGCCAAGTCCTGTTGGAAAATGAAATCTGCATCTCCAAAAAGTTGGTCAGCTGCAGGAAGCATGAAGTGCTCTAAAACTTCCTGGTATGTGGCTGGGTTGACCCTGGACCTCAGAAAACACAATGGACCAACACCAGCAGATGACATGGCACCCCAAACCATCACTAACTGTGGAAACTTTACACTGGACTTCAAGCAACGTGGATGAAGTGCCTCTCTTCTTTTCCTCCAGACTCTGGGACCTTGATTACCAAAGGAAATGCAAAATTTACTTTCATCAGAGAACATGACTTTGGACCACTCACCAGCAGTCCAGTCCTGTTTCTCTTTAGCCCAGGCAAGACGCTTCTGACGCTGTCTGTGGTTCAAGAGTGGCTTGACACAAGGAATGCGACAGCAGAAACCCATGTCTTTCATACGTCTGTGTGTGGTGGTTCTTGAAGCACTCACTCCAGCTGCAGTCCACTCTTTGTGAATCTCCCCCACATTTTTGAAGGGGTTTTGTTTCACAATCCTCTCCAGGGTGCGGTTATCTCTCTTGCTTGTACACTTTTTTCGACCACATCTTTTCCTTCCCTTCGCCTCTCTATTAATGTGCTTGGACACTGAGCTCTGTGAACAGCCAGCCTCTTTAGCGATGACCTTTTGTGTCTTGCCCTCCTTGTGCAAGGTGTCGATGGTCGTCTTTTGGACAACTGTCAAGTCAGCAGTCTTCCCCATGATTGTGTAGCCTATAGAACTAGACTGAAAGACCATTTAAAGGCTTTTGCAGGTGGTTTGAGTTAATTAGCTGATTAGAGTGTGGCACCAGGGGCCATCAATTTTGAACCTTTTCACAATATTCTAATTTTCTGATATGATGAATTTGAGATTTTCATTTGTTGTCATTTGTAATCATCAAAATTAAACAAAATAAACATCTGAAATATAGGAGTTGTATGTAATGTATGAATATAATATACAAGTTTCACTTTTTAAATGGAATTACTGAAATCAATCTACTTTTTCATGATATTCTAATTTTATGACCAGCACCTGTATAGCAAGCTGAGGCCAACAATAACATTGAATGAGTCTTTTACACACCACCTGGTTTCCCAAATAAAACAACTGGCACTCAAACTATTCTCCAAACTCCATTTTGTCTCCAATATAAACGCAGAACCAGTTATTTTTGTTTTATTTACACATCCGTGGCACAAATGTTTTTTTTTTCTCATCTTCTCTTTAGATATCTATTTTGTCTGTCTCTGAATTCTACTAAACTTTGTTTATGTGAATCTTTATAGATGCAGAGTTTCCAAGTTCTCTGTAGCTAAAACATCTCGTATAAAAACATAATCTAGACTCAAAAATACTGATAAAAAGTTAAATTAGCAAAGATAATCAATTAAAACTGAAACATTATCAGGATTCAAAGGCTATGAGAAGTTAAGATATCTGCTGTTTGAAGAGTCATCATTTTTAGTGTCAATCCTTCTGAGCTTTGTGATTTGGCTTCTGTTTTTCCACCTGCTGGCAGCAGGTTCCCAGTGGAGTTGCTATTGTTGGAGGTTTCGTAACCAAAGGTGCAAGCTGTTCACTGCTCTGATTTTTGAGCCACTTGATCAGGTTCTCCTTGTGACTCTGTGCACAGTCCTGCTGGAAGATCCCCAGATTTTTCTGAGATTGTTTGAAGAGATTTCTGGTGGAGGAGATTTTTAATCTAACTGTTTATTCTGCTATTTACTGTGCAGTGTTCTTCTGTAGGAGTGAGACAAAGCCTCTTAGATAAGAAGCATCCAAAAACCTTTATTTTATCAGGGTGCTTCGCTGTTGACACCATAATTAATGGTAGATCTCAACCTTTCTTACTCAGTCAAATCTTTTACCAGCTATAGATTTCAAAATGTGGATCCATTGTAGGGAATTTTTTTTCCACCAGCTATCGATCCATATACTTTATTAAAAAATCTATGTCTGTCCTTTATATTTTTCTGAGACAGTAGAGTATTTGTTGCTGCCCTTCTTGCCACAGGGCCGATGTCGATAAATCCTCATCTCACTGCGTGAGACAGACTAACAACCACCTGCTTCCAATCCCCAGTGAACCCTGTACTTGTGGCAGGTATGCTCTTTAGCACCTTCATCTG